ACATAGGTGYTGAACCAATGATGAGCGTCTCCTCCCAATCGAGCGGGAAWGTTCACCTATGCCTCGTTATCATCGTACTGCTGAGCYCGGAGCGTGGCTAGCCATGCTCCAGCAAGGTGGTGTGCAGGGTCAAASAGATAGAGATCAAGTGGCGTTATGGGAGTCCGTGMTCKTGGTGCAGGTTGATTAGGATTTATCGGTTGGTTGGGGTTCTGTTGTGGATTCAGATTATGTTGATTAGCGTTCAGGTTGACTGCCYGYCAGGCCGCAGTCCGGCTTCTGGTAACGAYGGGGTCGCGTCGATGCACGTTCCGGGGTCGAGGTGGTCCCCTGTTAGCCAGATCGCCCAGCTATGAATCCTAGATCCCAGCCACGTATCGGGCTCCGATACCAACCTCACGCCCGACGCGACTTCCTGATYGGAGTGGGATGTGGGCCTGGAAGTGCGAAAAGGGGTRTGCAAACGATTTTTGGGGAAAGTGGGGGTGGAGTYCCAGGTCGGAACTAAGAYCTCCTATGGCAAGGGTCCAGGGGCATAGATGCAATAGGGCTAAGGGGCAGGTTWCTTCCGGTCTGATGACGGTCGATGTCGTGCAGTATAAGGCGGATGGCATGYGTGGTGCATCAAGGGTCGTCCGATCCGTCTGTTTTGGTGGCSGCGGTTCGGGAGAGGCCCGTTCGTGAGGGTTGCGATTCCTATGAGTCGGAGCTTCAAGTGCAGACACGTGGCGTCTGTCGTCGCGCGTTATGGTTAGGCTCCGTAGTTTCAGGGGTTTGGCRGTTGCTGCGTCGTCTGCAGWTTCTGCACCGTGTATGRGGCCAATATAGGGCGATGAAAATCACGGTACCACCGTGAGTTGGTGATACGGGAGGAGGAGATGGAAGGGAGGGAAAGTGGTGGYGATAACGACGAAGCCGAGGGATATGAAGTATTGCGTGTTATACGTAGTTGGGTAATCGGGGCACCTTGGATCGTTGGTTACGGCACAGTGAAACTCCCTGGGGCACAATCAGTTCTCGGTTAGGCAGGGAAATTCCGGGTATTTCCCCCTACGATATTCTTCTTCTTCCCAGGGCTCAAAGTACCCTGAGTCCCATGCGTACGTCATCTTGTCATTGCGGTGCAGTGGACGCCTTTTGTATGGCGTACGCATCTAACTGACAGGGGGATATCCGGATATGGTGTTAGAATTTCCTCCCAGCTCGGTGCATGAAAGGAGGAAAATTCCTCGCCTATCCCGATACTGGAGGTGCCAGGTTCGTCAAGGGTCGCGACTCTCCACACGTGGACATGTGTAGGTCGCGCAATCCATATCGCACTTACACATATCCATACGAGGTGTTCGCTTGTACCCGGGTCTATGGGATGATGCTTACGCAAAAGTGAGAGTTGTAATCCCTCATGCAAAATTACCACGTGTCATGGATAACAACCTTATCATCTAATCACTCAGTGGTCCCACACAACATCAGAACTCATACCATACCAACAGCGGATCAAAGTGACAAGCAACAATGATGATTAGGCAAAAACGACAAACATATCATTCCACCCGAGCTAGTTCGTCCCATACACATAAAAGAGGGAGGACTGAAACAGAATGAGACATCATACCAGAACCAATATTAAAACAAAGATGTCGAAGAGAAATGAGAGCGAATCGCTCGAGCCGAAATCAAAACTTATATGCAAAATCAAAGGAAAAGACAAAGAAAATTGCAAATCCACGTTCATCAACCTCCGCTCTCTCTTCCTCTCTCTCTCTCTCTCCGATGCGGACAGTCCGTCGTCACGCACCAACCCACGAAGTCGTCACCCCGCTTAGTCCTCCTGCACCTGTCAGGTTCGCCCGCGTGCTACAGTCCGTCTTGGCCCTATGCGTCAACCCCGCGCATTCGGCACCAGCTCGTCGGGTCGCCCGACTCCCACTTCAACTTACCTCTTACTTCGCTCGTGAGCCGACCCTCACTGATTGCGTTACCCCGAGCTTCCAGCAACTAGTTAAGAGAGCTATCTAATCGCGCAGTCGAAATTTATAGCGTGTATGCAAGCGCAAAGAACACGGAATTGCAAAGACTTAGAAAGGAGATCGGAAGAGGGAGCGCCTACATTCTGCATGGCCAGACCGCGGCGTGGGGAAAATAGCCGCTCTCCACGCATCGATCCGATCATGCAGCCCGTGGGCTAGACAGCCACAGCAAAAAGGAAAGGAGAGCGCGGGAAAGATAAAGCTCAAGAAGAGAGATACAATTACAATGGCGCCTGCCCAAAAATTACATTTACACACGAGATTAAGGGCGCCGACTAATCAGAGTTCCGCTGCAGCCGCAAAAAGAAACGAGCAAAAAAAAAACAACAAGGCGTGGCAAAATAAATCCCGGATTCCTAAATTTCTAAATTCCTAAACCTATTGCAAAAGGAATTTTAATAAAACGCAAATTCCGAAAAGAAAGTCTGAAATTTCGAGAGTTATCGAGGGCTCGACAAGATTCAAGAAGAAATTCAAAAAGAAGCAAAACTTCCCGTGCGACCTTCGCGCCTAAAACCCGACAATTGAACAAGATAGAAGCGACATCAAACATTATTATTCGAGTCTTTGTCGATGCGACAACCACTCAATCGGCCATCTCGGGACTTGCCCGGCGCGGAACCTAGCCATCCGAAAAGAAGCGATGCAAAAAGACGAAGGAGTGAGGACACCGATGCAATTTCCCTTCGATCCCGATCTCCCGTAATTGGCCCATCCTTCCCATCTTAGGACCCCTCATTGCTATCGCGCAGAAAATCACGTGGAACAGAAATTGGTTCGTCACATGCCAGCCAAAACAAAAGAAAAGTGCAAGCATTATGCCTACCATAGCGACCACAATTGGAAATAGTTTCAACAACCCAGTTTCTTCCGACCGGTTATCATGGGYCGATATATCAGATGGTACTGGTACCCGACACTGGGCCGAMAGTTGAAATTGGAATCTCTATCGCAACCRTTCACTCACATCATCTATGACCTCGGTACAAAACAACTTCAACCATCAYGTCAAGTTTAAGACATCCACGACAAACAAAGCAACCACCTAAATCAACGGAGGACTATCACCCGAAGCAACGAGGAACAAACGGACRATGTGACACTCACCCAGGCTGAAGAACTGCCTCGCCAGCCCGACCGGTACCACTGCCTTGGCCAAGGACAGTAKAAGTCACAGGGGCCTGGCCTTCGATGACAGCTTGGGAAGTTTCCCGAGCAGCGCCCTCCAGTCCACGCCCCCTTGCAACACTCATCGCATACGCAAACCTGCACTGGAGCACAAGGGTCACATCCTACGAAGATTGAGTCGTTCTCCTCGCCGTTTGGCCRAGGACTGTCACTTCTGGTCTACRGGTCCTACTGCTATCAAGTTTTGTCAACCGATGGTCAACTTTTTCGGGTCTGTCACCCCCTTGTCCCCACCAGTCACGGTGAGAGTACAGTTCTTCTAGGTCCCTGTTCCCCTACTCCATCCATCATGTACACATTCTCCTGTCATGCTAGGCACCGCCCCACCAACTTTGAAAGTCAGTCCATTCCCGCGAATGCCCCTGTCTTGTCCCTGCAAGGTCCCAACACCTCCCAACCCCGTCCATCAACCCTTCAGAACATCTACTCTACGACCCTGTCGTACTCGATTTCTTCCCCTCAAACATCTCATCCGATGAGAAGTTGGTCACTATTTTTACCTCCCTCATTACTCTCATTTCCGGTGCCATCCCTCCCCCACCCATCGCTGCAGAAGAATCTTTGTCCTCGACTCACCCTCCGCCTCCCTGCTTCCCCTCCATCTTTTCGTCCTCCCTACCGTTGTACCTTCATCTTTCATAAATCTCCAGGCATACTTYGTTGAAAAGCGCTTCCATTYATAACCCCTTCTTACTCATCTACTTGAGTACGTAGAATGCAATTCCTTTTGTACCTTTCAGAACAGTGCTCATGCGTTCTTCTTCCTCCTCTGAGATAAAGTCCATGAGCTCTTCTCCCACTCCTTCTACTTGCTCACCATCTCCTCCCTCCTCTTCGTTGGCACTCATTGTTTAAATTTTCTCACTTAAGACGAGCAGAATCATATTGTGCAGCAGTTACCCATTAATAAACACAATTCCACGTATGGTTTCAGGATTCCTTTCTATTGTTTTCGTCTCTGCCTCGCCAATGCTACAGAGACCTCTTTCAAGTGCTGGGTCAACAACGCCCAACTAACCCTCACCGAGAATCTCCGGGCGATCGGCACGCAATCCGCTTTCTCCTGTCCTATAGTGTTTTTCTTCAGAGGATTCTTCAAGCAACTCATCAAAGAAGATTTTCACCACCTCTGCACGCACAACCTTCTTGCTTCAGGTTCTGGCCTATGGTTCAGACTTCTCACGGAGGGCATCTGTGATCTGGATCGTCACTATCTCCCTACACCGGACCAGCCCAGGGAGCAGTGCAGACTGCCGCAGGCCCCAGTTCCACGGCTTACTCTCAACCTCAAAGAGGGACGTCACGCTTTCTCTTTCCTAAACACTGAGGAGCAGGATGCCGTCCAAGAAGGGAACTGATCTCTCTACCTCCTCAAGAAGACAATGCCGCAGATCTCTAGAATTCAATCTGGAATCAGACTCACCAGGGCGTCCAATCCCAGTGCAGCAGTTACTGATCGTGCCTCGACCTCCGATCGCTTCACCATCTCCACCACCCCTACCCATTCCCGCTCCTCCCAAAACGATCAGAACGAGCAAGAAACCTAGCACCTTCAGGTCCCTTACTTCTTTTTCCTCATTTTTATCTGCATCCTCTTCCTCCTCATTTTGTTCCTTTATATCCTAGTCTTCTTCAAACCACTTCCTTCATCTCCCTTCTTACCACCTTTCGCGCACGGTCTAAGATTTTGAAGTTTGAAATCTCCCTCCCCTCACTCAACCCCTGCCTGAATCTTCTTTGAAGTGCTACCCTATAAGGTTTCATACGAAGCAAGGGTAGGAGAAATAGAAAGATAGTGGCCGCAAACATTTAAGTATGAAAGAGGCATTACAGAGAAGTAGCGACGTGATGCATGTGAGTATGSAAGATGAAGGTTGCTTTTTTTGCTCGCGACAGATCAAACTAGTATAACAGACTGTTTAAGTCAATCAGCCTTCCAATCRCATAATTTCTCCTCATAAATTCAAAGAGGAGAAGCAAGAAGGAAAAGTAACAGCGGAAGCCAGAGAAGTTAAAAAGAAGGCAGAAGCTAATTAGGAAGGCAACTATGATTTGTTAAGCYATCAACAATYTTGTWAGTGACCATCATCCTWATTAGGAAATAACTGAACTATTTGATGAACAACAATTTTTTTTGAAGGCCCTGAAGGGCTTGTAATTTTTGTTACTTGTATCAAAATTTTGTATGCATCTCTCATCAATTCGTTCTGTCCTCAAAGCTTCTCTTATTCCTTTATGCTCTCTTAAGCTCAGACTATACGATAGTAATTTCATTATTACCACTTGTTTATTGCAAAATTCATATTATTAGTAATTTATTACTCAATTCGTTGGTGAACCTCATCTCAAAACCACTTGTTTATCGATCAACCACAATGGATTGATAAATCGATCATCTAGTTAACCTACCCACTTATCAAAACTACTACGTAATACCCTTCAGGGCCTCCACAATGTTATTGGATGATTATTTAAAAAAAAAATAAAAAAAAATCAATCCCGCTATGATCAATTAAGTGATTGGATGATCGATCACCATAATCTTTTGTTCGGCATTCTGACTGCTTTCATTGGAATGATCGATCAATCAATTGATTGTTTGACTTCGAGCTCATAACCTTTTGATTAGCCAATTGCCTTCAAAATCTGATCGACCACAATCGGTCTTACGATCAATCGAACAACCTCCTTGTTGGACAATCAACCGTCGATCGACCGATCCACCAACCAATTCGACGACCAATCGATTGACTAATCAACGGTCCGATTGATTAATCGATGAACCGACCATTTGATCAATCGACCAATCAATTGATTGATCGTCCATTCACTTCGTAGTCCAAATAATCAACCAATAGCCAACACTGGCAACACATGAATCCAATTCTAATAAACTCATCATTTTCATTCCATGCGTATCCCTACTCCTTTACCCTCGACCACCACCCAAACCATTCCCTCAAGTTTTTTGTCTGATGATGAACCATAGTGGATCGATAGGTCAACCATCTAGTTAACCAGCCACTCAACCAAACTCATACTTAACATTCTCCGCCACGTTGTCGGATTAAAAAAAAAGAAAAAAAAAAAAAAAA